AAAGAATGGGCGAAACACGTCCGCACCTATTTACTATTTTTAAATTGTGTGAAGAGTGATGTTATTTGCCACTGTTTGAATGCTACTATTGCTTTCAGCGCAGACTGCAATAATTAAAGAGGAGAAATTTTTGACTCTTTTGATTACCGTGTTTTTACTGAACTGTTTTTTCTCTTAACGTGCAACAAGAGAGAATTTACAGGAGCACTCACGAATGATGCATTTAATTCCACTGATCGTTGTGCGTGGACTGATGATGACGATACGTTGGTTGCGCAGTAATGCGCTTACGGTTAAATAAACTGAATTATTGTGTAACCAATTTCGGCATTTGAGATTCACAGCATATTCCAGCCAGACCAGCAGTAGTACAGTACAACAGATCGACCGCGAATGAGAATAACAAAAACTTAACTACAACATATAAACTGCAATATAAAGACTCAAAATAAAAATTAAAAACAAATAAAAACAAACTTATTACATAAACCGCATCTGAAGTTACCTTGATCTGTCTACCACGGAAGAGCGAGTCATCCAAGGCTAACGCAGTCTGAACCGAATCTTTGTCGGCAAACTCGATATAGGCGAACCTAGAAGAGACAGACATTCATAATTAATACGGCTAATTTCAATTACAATGTATTCACCCTTTAGGATGACCGGTATATTTGTCGCATAAAATAGTGACACGATTAATTGAACCACATCCGTGAAAATGTGCCTCTAATTCTTCTGCAGTTGCGCCGTAATCAACCTGAGTGCACAGAGAGCATTAAAGAATAACGTGTAAAACGATATAAAATCAACGCTTGATAGTACACTAGCAAAAGTATAACGCAATTAATACAGTAAATGAAACAACTACTGCTAAGCAACTAGTTACACTGGAGGCCCCAATACTTTGCAACTTCATTTCCACTAAATATTAAAAAGCTGAACATAATTAGGCAATTTTTAAGCAAACAACTTCCCTAGACGCGAGAGACAGCAATACAGTGATCATCCGAAACAGGGATTTATATTGTTATGGCACCGTGTCCTTCATCCTGGATGCCTACTGGCACATTGAAATAGGTCACAGCTATACAATATTCGATCACGTAAAATGCAGAGACGCACCTCGCTTCATTCTAAGCAGGCTACAGCTCAACGGCTTTTGTGTATCTACACACAGCTTTAACGACAATGTAAAATAGTTTACTGACGGCCAGTACCAAGTAAATACCAACATATACCAGACCGGATAAGAGATCTATTTAACCATTTTGAGACAGTGAACTTTAGTAAAGACGTTAAAAATGGGGCTATCAACTTCCGTGCTGAGCAGGTATTACTGATCTAATATCCATTTCATGAATGACAGTGCGCACTGTAACATAATTCAGCTACCTCTAGTAGCGATCATCAGTGATACAATGCATACACGTGAAAAACCAAGAGAATGGGATTATTTTATGCACTTCTCAACAAAACTTTACTTAGAGAACCTGCTGAAGTTAAAACAGAGAAAAATGCAAAACTATGAAGCACTTACGTTTCCAACATAAACGGACCTTGAATCGACTTCAATCTTTTCTTCCAAAGACACGTTCAAAGTGCTGGCTATTCGACTATACTATTATAAAACCGAATGGTTAAGAAAAAAGAAAACTTACAAGAAGAGGACAAGTTCATTTGCTTTTCCACTTCGGAATGCATTTGTCGAATTTTCTCTGCTTCTTCTTCCATCTCTTTCACGCGAGCACGAATAGCGTCCAGGTCCTAAAACAAAACAAACCATTAATTATTTGATAATCGCAATAATTAACTCGTATGAAGAGTCAGAAACAATCATGTTTTTCAAAAGGGTGAAAAGGGAGATATGAAGAACTACCGACCAATATACGTGCTGTCACAAGTCTACATGCTGTTCCCTAATATCACCACCAATACTGTCAACAGTTTTGGACGAAAAGTAGTCAAGAGAACAGACATGATTCTGAAGTAGCTACAGCACCAAGAATATCATCATTTTTCCATATTATCTTTATATCTATCTTTATAAATTAACCTCTTATAGCAAACGAGGAAATAACAGTTTCCTGTGTCTACTGGTGACGAGAAAGCGTTCGGCAGCGTCAAATACAAGCCAGTGTGAACTGCACTGGCGTAACAGTGCATCGACACCTGTTACATCAGCCTGCCAAAAGTAGCGAAATCTGGCTGCTTCACAAATATCACGTTGTTCAATACCTCATCAGGATTCCATCGAGAAAAACGAAGAACAAGTGGACACCATCTCTCCAAACTCTTGACTGCCTGTTAGAAAATGGTGTTCCATAAGATAAACTGGAAGAGAGACATTAACTTCAATGGTTAGAAGATGAGCCATTTAAAGTTCGCTGATGACGTGGTGTTGTTTGCAAAAAAAGCGTTAGTTAGCTAAAGACATGCCGCAAGAGCTCGAGAGAAAAAATGCGACTGTGAATCAATTGGCTAAAGACGAAGATATTGCGATCGAATGCCCTGTCGAAGGACCAGGTAATGTGAAACGGCGAAAAGATGTCGATAAACACGTTGACCTGAGCCAATGGTTATCAACATGCAGCATGATCATGCTGGAGAGAATTTGCCTAGAAAGAGTCGTTTCGCACGTTTTATTCAATCGAAAACGATCTTCACGGAAAATTCAGGAAAGAGATCTTCTTGAACTTCTTCAATTTTACCTTTCTGCCGGCAATTTTCTATAAATGACAGACGCGAAAACTCACGAAATACGAAAAGCGCCAGTTATTTGTCATGGAGACAGTAATGGAAAGAATATTGAACCTTACGTTGCGACCCAATCCTCAAAACGGTGATCAGAGAGCGGCCGGGCGAGAAGCAGAGGGGAGAAGCTACGATGAACCAGACAGTTGGGGTCATTGGGGTCACCATGGGATATGGTCGGCAATGAATGTCGAATGGTAGCTATGCGGACGATTTAGGCTGTTTGGTCGACCACCGCAATGGTGGGACGATTATATCAGAAGCTGGGAAGGCCGCTTTGAAGGGAGAAGGCTGGAAACTGCAACGAATGGCACCCCTTCTAAACCAGAATAATAAATATTCCAACTGTCGCTCATTTTGTACCAAGGTTGAGACGTTACAAGGATGGCTTTAATTAGTTAAATTTATAAAATGATATTGATATAGAAATCGCACTAATGTCATTCTTCTGCTGAAAATACAGACATTCATAAAAGCTAAACGAATTTTCTAGGCAGAAAGCGTAGTCATCGGTCACAATCCGTTGAGGCAATAATCATACCGAGAACTTCCATGATTAATGACGAGGCAAAGAGTACGGGCAACAGTAACGAGTAACCAGCGCTGGCATTTGTCAGTCACTATGGATTTCCTATATGTCCATTGGTTAATTCATTCATTTTGAACGCTCGCCGTTCTTTCAGGGTAGCAGCGGTAGCTGCTTCATGTATACTCAATGAACCAAGCCCTCCGCCAACTAGGAAAGCCCAATGGGCATCATTCCAAGGCGCGCAACAACCGATTTTCTACGTAATCGTGGCACCTGGCACCTGCTGTGTGTTATGCCCCTGGAGCGTCCGAATCTAAGCAACAACAACTGCGATCTCTTGATTAGATAAAGAGCGGCTGAAAATCGAGGAAAGTTACGAAATGTGGCTTACCAGACTTTGGCGGAGTCTAATGAGAGAATTCTTCGAGAGAAAAAACTCATTTTTGCCGCTGTTATTCGGATGAATATTTGGTAATGAAATTTTCATTCTTCATAACCACAGGCCAGTTGCGCGCCCGATTAACTGATCCCTCTATATTTCGACGAAATACCTACCATGACTAGTGAGTAGTACTGAGCGATACCTAAACGGTTACACCTGCTCCAGCTGCAATCTACTTACCTGCGGAGCATACTGCCTAATCGTTCTTGCGTGAATATGAATCTGGTTTTTGACATATTGATTTTCTTCACGACTTCATCGCATGTAGCAACGTTCCGTTCAAGAGCACTCTAGAAGTCATGATTCGACGAAAGTAACATGAGAGATCATATGCCAAAGGCAAGAGATTTACTAAGACATTCGTGTGTACTGCAATACTACATTATTGAATAATACACTGAAAAAAGATCTTACCGGATCGTCCATAGATAAGTCGTCAGCAACGTTCACCGCGTCTTCCTCTTGTTCCTCACCGAACTGCTCCGTTTCATGTAAGGTAACTGTATCTCCACCATCCAGTTCATTGTTATTCGAAGCAGACATGAAAAACTCGAAAGCTGACTAAAATAAGATGCACTGTAAATCAGCAAGGCACTAAAATGTAATTTAGGGAGGTGCGACCTTCATGAAAAAACCACTGCAATGACCTGTACGTGTGATCTTCTACACATAGTACCAGGGTAAATCAAAACTCATGAATCAGGTAGTCTGTAAATGACCCAGATATCTGATGCAAATGGGAAACACTTTCTGAGATCTCAAACATTTCCTAGATTTAAGTGAAACTATGTCAAACAATTAACTACTCTTCCGAGCGTATCATAAGCCCAGTTGTTCGGCAAAACTGTCAAACCCCTAATGCTCCATAATGCAGTATGAAAAAGCATGAGACAGAATAAAACGAGCCACATACGCTAATCTCAAAACGATATGGCAGAACATGCTGATTAATGAAAGAATTATTTAAAACAGCGTTTCACCGCGCTTTGCACTACTCCTTTGCTCTAGTGAATTTAAACAAACCCTGTCTAAATGGTATAGCCTCCTGCAGTGCTTGTAAATATAGTTCAAATTGTTGCTTGGTTAGAAAATACCTTGTTCGTTACCCAC